TATATATATATATATATATTCAAGACGATGATTACAGAACACTCTATATTTCTTCAGAAGAGATTTGCTTGGTTCATCTGTGAAAAAAAGTAAAATTGAAGCGAAAAAAAGAAAAAGACTAAATTGAACAATGCTGTTTTATTAACAATGCATTTACAGCGAAACTTCTAAACAAGCATGTACAAACAAAAATAAATTACTGAAGTCAACAAAGCGTGTAACTTTACAAAAAACTTGAAACAGAAAATTCATTTTAAAAAGAGTTCATTTTTTAGGCTTCTGAATTTTTGGGTGGTTTTTCATTGCACTCAGTGGTTTCGGACCTGTTGTCTGATCCGTGATCACCGTTGTCAGTAGCGCAAGCGAGGCTTGGGAATTTTTGATGCAGAGCTGCTCTGTATTTAGGATGGCTTATACCATATACAATTGGATTGTAGACGGCTACTGCTTTGGCGAAAACAGCTCCCCAGATGGTTGCCAATGGAGTCAATCGTGCTCCGTTAGAGAAAACACCGCTCCATGCAATGCTGAGGTATGGAGTCCAGGCAATGAACCACAGTCCAACAGTCATCAATGCAATCTAAAGAAACGAAAGAAACCCTGGTTTATTTTATGTCACACATTCAACAAATGTATTACAATAACTTTCCTTCGCATCAATCAAACAAATGATTGATTACTTATGTAAGTTTAAGAATATCGAAGACAAAAATAACATGCTAACATTTAATAGCTTACTAGGGCCCGATTGTCCCATCTATAGTCAGTGAGAACGAACCAAAGTTTAATGGCCTGCTAGGACCAAAGTGTTCCATCTATATGGTCAAGGAGAACGGACTAATATTTAATAAAACCAAATTGGTTCCATCTATAGTCAGTGACATTAAATGAAAATAGTCGTTGCTAATCTGAGGTTTAATATATTCTAGTCGTTAAGTTCATTGTTCTATTACTTTTTTAATCAATGATTTTTTTTTGCAGGAGAAAAGTAAAACGAGTTTATTATAGCCCAACAAGAAGTGATACTATTAACAAAAGTTTAAAGAAAATTAGAAAATCTATATTTATATTCATAGAAATATATATTACCCGCTTACTAAATAAATGCCCTATTTTCAAATAAAATTTTAACTGTACAACGTAACATTTGATCATAACTATTTAATTAAATGATTTTTGTTTGCTTTATTAAATCTGAAATAAATCTATAATGAGCTGAGTTGAAAAAAGTAATGCAATGTATATTTTATATTAATTGCTTGAAAAATTGCCCGATTTCATTTTGGATTATCAGACTACAGTACAGCATCTTCCTGCTAAAAATCAGAATTTATGACCTTTGCCAGACTGGAACAAGCAAACTGTTGTTCCCAGATGCCGTTGGTTAAATTGCAACAGTATGGCATTATAGCTCTGTTTATCATTGGTTATCAGCAGAAACTAATGACTAATATCAAATTGGGAAAAAAGTGCCTGGGGATATTTGAATAATATACACGAATGTGAAAAGATCTCTTGAAGTGTTGACAAAGGGTTGGGGTTACAGAACACCTTGCTGTAACTCTGTCAATTACCTTGGCAAGTCGGCATTCAGCTGACTGCTTTTGTTGGTCAGCATTTGCTCTCAAGGATGAAACGTTCATCTTCTTGGCCTGCTCTCTCAGTTGTTTTTCGTGGTTAGACACGGATCGTACAATGAAAGTGTAGTTGTAGATCAGGGTGAGCAGAGGTGTGAAGTAGACAGCCAAAATCCGTAGAAGATGACGTAGGAAGATGAACTCCAGTCCTTGGTCAAATAATCGATAGTGCAGCTGGTCATGTTACCTTCAGGTACATACCTTAAAGAAAATCATATAAATTTATTCACACAGCATAAATAACTTTTTTTTTTATCAAAATGGATTCAAAAATTGAGAATTTATTATTATTATTATTACATATTTCAAAACTACATATATTTTAGAGTTATTTACAAAAAAGTTTTTACTATTTACAAAAAAGTAATTTTTTTTAATTTTGATAAAGAATTAAATCATAAAAAGTTTACCAGAAAATTGAAATCGAAGAATAGTCTTATAAAAGTTTGAAAATTAAACTTGTTAAAATTATGATTTATTTTGTAAAATATATAAGTGAAACTTATATACGAATGAAAATATGCAAAATGCTTTCAAATCATTTATTAGAAATGAAGATTATTATGATAATCTTCTAAACAAATCTCAAGGCAATTCTCTTTTTTTTTTTCACGGTTTTTTTCCTCAAACATGCTTGCATATTTCATAGAAATATGAACAACTAAAGCCAAGTTGAAAGCTGCCATCAAACAATTAAGCATTACAGAAGACCGTCGAAATGAAACCACGAATGGGAATAGAGCGGGTTACACAGTTAAATAGATCTAGTATTAATAACTGCATAATAGTTAAAATATAAACCATTCAAACCCCTTTTTAATCGGAGTATGAATCGTTAACCATTTCCCCGNCCCGTATGGATGTAGCATGATTTTAAAGACATAACAAATGACGTTTTTTGTTTTAGACATTTTTGAGGATATTAATTATTTTACTTCTAAAATATACTAATTGCTTAAGATTTGTAGCAAATTGATGACTCGGGACAAATTTGTCTTCGTAAAAGACTTTTTGAATAAAAGCTTCTGAGTATGCATTATAATCTAGCTGCAGAGTATGCATTATAATCTAGCTGCAGAGTATGCATTATAATCTAGAGCAATACTTGCCGCTTACGGTCAACCTGATGAAAACGGGCTCTAATTTTCGGTCCATCTACCAATGAGGAATTTATAACGGAACTATTAGATATTTGGGGCAGTAGCAGTCAAATAAATATGCGTTGAACTTGAACGGCAATGCGCCTGTGCTTGAAGCAATCATCATGTCCTCTAGCCATGTTAAATCAGTTATAAATTTTGAAAAAGAATAATTAAAATAATACCTGTTCCATCCGAAGAATGGAAGAATCGTCCAGGCACCAGACCATACCCAGACCATGAGAATCTGGAATGCTGCCTTTTTGGATGTTAAAGGTTCAGCAGACATGCCTCTTACAATGACGTTGTATCTGTCGAATGCAATCATCACCATAGACCAGATGGAAACACAGCCAAAGAGACTGCCAACCATTCCGTATATTTCACACATCAAGGGTCCGAGAATCCAAGTTTCAGAGAAACAATTAGCAGTCATAGTGGGCATCATGAAGGCCATCATGCAGAAATCCGAGAAGGCAAGATTCACGATCAACATATTCGTCGGCGTCTTAAGGCTCTGCAAAAAAAGTTACGTGTGAGCAATTAAATTATTGGATCTGCTCCGCGACACGGAGCTTCTAGAACCTTCTCAAACTTTCTTCAACTTTTGAGAAGTTTATCGTAAAATAAAAAAGTTAAAACCTTAAAGAATAATAAAATACAATTCACAATTTTTATAAATTTAGGGAATATTCCTGCTGTGTACTACTCAATATTGTTTGATCGTTCTACTTAAATCCTTCGACACAGGACTTTATTAAACATATTTTTCATGTTTTGTTTTCCTTATTTTGTATTCATTTAGAGATGAAAATAAGTGAAAAATATTATATTTAGCATTATGTATATTCATACCCTCCAACTGCTACGGAATTTCCGTAGTTTCAGAAATCTTCTTTTCTGACGGTAGCAAAATTAATGTCTAAATATTTAAAAAAAATTAATTTTAGCGTAACTTGTCCACTATTACTTATAAAAGTGAAGGCCATATGGCTAGATTCTTAAGTTCTAAATCCGTAGAAGATGACGTAGGAAGATGAGCTCCAGTCCTTGGTCAAATAATCAATAGTGCAGCTGGTCATGTTACCTTCAGGTACATACCTTAAAGAAAATCAAAATCATATAAATTTACTTTTTGATGCTTCTTAACAATGCTTGCATATTTCACAGAAATATAAACAACTAAAGCCAAGTTAAAAGGTGCCATCTAACAATTAAACATTACAGAAGACCGTGGAAATGAAACCACGAATGGGAATAGAGCGGGTTACGCAGTTAAATAGATAGTAAAAAAAAAAATTCTGATCTAGTATTAATAACTGCATAATAATTAAAATATAAACCATTCAAACTCCTTTTTAATCGGAGTATGAATCGTTAACCATTTCCCCGTATGGATGTAGCATGATTTTAAAGACATAACAAATGACGTTTTTTGTTTTAGACATTTTTGAGGATATTAATTATTTTACTTCTAAAATATACTAATTGCTTAAGATTTGTAGCAAATTGAAGACTCGGAACAAATTTGTCTTCGTAAAAGAATTTTTGAATATAAGCTACCAGATGCATTATAATCTAGAGCAATACTTGCCTCTTACGGTTAACCTGATGAAAAGGGGCTCTAATCCTCGGTCCATCTACCAATGAGGAATTTATAACGGAACTATTGGATATTTGGGCAAGTAACATTCAATTAAATATGCGTTGAACTTGAATGGCAATGCACCTGTGCTTGAAGTCAGGGCCGGATTAAGATCCTCAGAGACCTTAAGCACTTAAAAGTTTTTGATGCTCCTTAAATGTAATTAAAAATATCATCATAAATAAAAGAAGAATCTCTTTGAAGAGGTTTCAACGCCAACCACATATTTTGGGATCTTTGAGCCGAACTAAAATTATTTTGGCAATTCTGATTCTATTTTTAAAAAATTCCCTGTCCCACAAGCTATTTTTTTTTTCATTTTAATTCTATGAAATATTACATAATTGTTTATTCAAACTTTCCGTAATATCGTTTAATATGCTTTTTAAATTTTTTCTAAAAAATAAGTGAATTTTTTTTTTTTTTTACTGTGGATCTCAAGTTAATATTCATGTAAAGAAAAATTATCAACCTTTAATGAATTCCTATAGAGAATAAAAAAACTTACAAAAGCTTAATACTGCATAAAAATGGAATTAATAATCAACAAAATTAACAAACAACTTTTCTTTTATCTCTGAGAGTGTTTGGAAACCTGCGATAATTCTCTGTGAATTTATAAAAGTTTTCTTATTACCTACAGCATTTATTATTATTAACTGAATTAATTCGCTTTCGTATTTATAACGATGATAACATGCAATTGAAATTTCTACTACGTTGGCTCTTTGTGGTGCCCTCAGCACGTGCTTAGTAAGCTTAATGGTTAAACCGGCCCTGCTTGAAGCGATCGCCATGTTAAATCAGATATAAATTCTAAAAAAAAGAATAATTGAAATAATACCTGTTCCATCCGAAGAATGGAAGAATAGTCCAGGCACCAGACCATACCCAGACCATGAGAATCTGGAATGCTGCCTTTTTGGATGTTAAAGGTTCAGCAGACATGCCTCTTACAATGACGTTGTATCTGTCGAATGCAATCATCACCATAGACCAGATGGAAACACAGCCAAAGAGACTGCCAACCATTCCGTATATTTCACACATCAAGGGTCCGAGAATCCAAGTTTCAGAGAAACAATTAGCAGTCATAGTGGGCATCATGAAGGCCATCATGCAGAAATCCGAGAAGGCAAGATTCACGATCAACATATTCGTCGGCGTCTTAAGGCTCTGCAGAAAAAAGTTACGTGTGAGCAATTAAATTATTGGATCTGTTCCGCGACACGGAGCTTCTAGAACCTTCTCAAACTTTCTTCAACTTTTGAGAAGTTTATCGTACAATAAAAAAGTTGAAATCTTAAGGAATAATAAAATACAATTCACAATTTTTACAAATTTAGGGAACATTCCTGCTGTGTACTACTTAATATTGTTTGATCGTTCTACTTAAATCTTTTGACACAGGACTTTATTAAACATATTTTTCATGTTTTGTTTTCCTTATTTTGTATTCATTTAGAGATCAAAATAAGTGAAAAATATTATATTTAGCATTATGTATATTTAGCATTTTAATAATTTGTGGTTATGGCCTTTTTCTGCGTTATTGGTAAAATCTTCCAAACAATATTTTTTTAGATGTGAACTTATTTGCAGTTATTTAGATCTAATAGAATCATTGAAATTTCTTTATAAAAACCAATGATTGATAAATTTTTGAATATGAATGAAAGTTTTCAAACTACTTTTTTTTGGGGGGGTTATATTTTAGTACAAATGTAATTCTGATAGCCTAACAGATATTTTTTAGTAAGTATTTGATTGTTTTTTTATAATTAAAAAATACCAAAAGATAATTTTGCTTATGATTAAAGCGTCAGAAAAAAATATATAAAAAGGACAATGG